TAAAAACTTGTGCCCCATCCCTTGTTTAATTTTATTGGCAACACATTTATGTTTAAAGCTAAATAAATTTAAATTCTGAATATTGGCAAGTGTGCAATTAACTTCTAATGATGAATAATTACTGTTCAATAAGTTTGAATACGGACTTAGAAATCATATAACTTGGTTTCATAGTGCGGTAGGAAGTTGCAGTTGCCTGACGGCCCTTCTCTGGGGGCAAAAACCGTTTCATCTCGCTCGCACCACTTGTGTTTACCGCCTAGTCAGGTGACGTTATCGGCGCTATTTTTAGCAGGGCTTTCCCGAACAATTCAAGTGGTCAAACTGGACATTTCGAACGGACTATGAATATGGGGATAGCGTGGTAACATAAGTGGAAGTGCATACAATACATACATTCATTAAAATAAAAATGCCTTTTCATGTGATGTCCCTTTAAATATCTTTGTCCTGACATTTTTTCCTTAACTAATAAGACAATTTTAGCAAAACTGGTTCATCTGGGCTAACAATGAAGATTTGGTATGTAAGTATGTTTTGGCATGGGGAAGTATATCAGTGACCAGTATATATTTGGTACAGGAAGTATATCAGTGACCAGTATACTTAAATAAGTGCACAGCTCAGTAAATAAAGAACTTGTTACTGGTGGAAGACTATGGATTGCTTTGCAAAGCTTTGCCTGAGTAAGGTTTATATAGGAGCTGTTGGTATTAGTTAGCCTTTGGCTTACAGTTCTAGTTGTCTTATCAATGTGATAAAATATGGCTCATTCTAGTTCAAGTTTGAATTTTCACTCTACAAAGATTCACAACAGAAGTCACTTTTTTCAAAAACACATTATTGCCGCTGTAGCCTGTCCTTTTTATTTATTAGACCAGAATCTTGAATCCAATACACTGGAATTTACATATGAAACAGCAAGAAGTCAAGTCATCTCTAGCAGGCTGCTGAAGGTCACCATGACTGACCTTGACCCTGCCATGACCTTGCAGGTGTATACCAAGATATTGGAGTCAGACCTAACATTGATGTTGTACCGTGCCACCAAAGATGAAACAGTGTCTTCAAGAACAGTACAACAACATGGCATTCCTATACCAGGTAAGCTCTGTCCCCAGAGAGAGCACCACAACACAGCATCCCTATACCAGGTAAGCTCTGTCCCCAGAGAGAGCACCACAACATGGCATCCCTATACCAGGTAAGGTCTGTCCCCAGATAGAGCACCACAACACAGCATCCCTATACCAGGTAAGCTCTGTCCCCGGAGAGACCACCACAACACAGCATCCCTATACCAGGTAATCTCTGTCCCCAGAGAGAGCACAACAACATGGCATCCCTATACCAGGTAAGCTCTGTTCCCAGAGAGAGCACCAAAACACAGCATCCCTATACCAGTTAAGCTCTGTCCCCAGAGAGAGCACCACAACACAGCATCCCTATACCAGGTAAGCTTTGTCCCCAGAGAGAGCATCACAACATGGCATCCCTATACCAGGTAAGCTTTGTTCCCAGAGAGAACACCACAACATAGCATCCCTATATACCAGGTAAGCTCTGTCCCCAGAGAGAGCACCACAACATGGCATCCCTATACCAGGTAAGCTCTGTCCGCAGAGAGAGCCCCTCAACACAGCATCCCTGTACCAGGTAAGCTCTGTCCCCAGAGAGAGCACCTCAACACAGCATCCCTATATCAATGAAATGAATCACTAAAGACAATCTGCCCCCCCCCCCCCCCCCCCCCCCGCCTCTTTCTGCTTGGCATGAAGAGACAAAATAAATTGGCGGAAATTCATGCACTTTGGAGTCTGGCGTCACCCCCAAGGGTCCATGGGTCAAAACCTGGAAACTAAAGAGATTCCTGTCCTGTTACCATGTATACAATTGCTTCAGACGAAGGGACAAATACACCCACATTGTTATGATTGTCTTTAAGATTCTACGCCCTGCAGGTAGGGCGTAAGAATTGTACCTGCTGCCCCCAATTGCATGATCGTAAGAGGCGACTAAATTTGGGACCTTATCTCTTCTCTCCTTTCTAAATAACTTTCTTCTTCCTAATGTCTCCCTTGACAATGCCTCACTTTTGGCCATTTGTTGAGCGTTCGCCC